TGCAGCTTACTTAGCCTTTTCTATACTTTATTGAGCTCTTCTTGTACATATATATATATATACGTAGCATAAAGACCTTTTTGTTGTTGTTGCTCTGATTGAGCTTTTACCATAATTTATTGGGCGTTCTTTGTAGCATAAAGAGCTTTTTTGTCGCTCAATAGGCTTTCACCATATTTCAAAGAGCTTTCATTGTAGCATAAAGAGCTTTTTGTAGCTCATTGAGCTTTTGCTATAATTTATTGAGCTTTTATCAAAAAATATCAGTTTCTTTACTTTTCTGATAGTTTTATAAGAGTTAGGTACCTCTAACGAACTTTTAATATTTTTAAAGTCGCATTTGCAAATATATATAATACCGTAGTAGTCGTTTTTTGTGTCATTTTTAAACGATTCACCATAAATATGATACAAATCATTCATATAAAGCGATTTATAACATTTATTAAGGAAAATGGACACATAGCTACATACAAATATCAGCAACTACTCAATGCTCTCTTTTCAATCTTCTCGCATTCCTGGAAGGCAGTAATTTTTCGTATTACTAGCTTTGTTGCAAGCATCAACAATCACTTTCCTATTTATTATAACTAAATAGCATTCGCAACACTCGCTGCCATGGCGGCACCGCCCTTCGGCCGATTGGCGAGTTTTCATTAAGATTGTTAATTTAAGATCTGTGGCGTAATTTACTTTGCCACGTAGGAGAATGCTGCTGTAACGTGCTGCATACAGTTCTAGTATAAACATAATCGAGCTTTATGTAAGTGTATTTGGGCGTGTGTATGTATAAATGCACTGCCTTTTACTTTTAAAACGAGGAGACAGCAGCTCTGGCGATAAAATAGTTATGTCGCATTTAATAGACACCCTTGCTACTCGTAGACGTTGCAAACAACGGATGTTGTATTTGCTACACTTGTGCGAACACTTTTCGCTGTGTGCTGCAACGCTTCGGCGTGTGAAATGTGCGTTCAAGTGGAAATTTATGTTTTTGTATATATGTATGTAAATATGTATGTATATATATGTGTATATGTATTCAGCTGGCGTTCTATATATGTAGAATACATACCACGAATAGATGTGCACCTTTGTGGTGAATAATGACATGCATGCATTCCAATATGCCGGCATTCATATTTCCTGCAACATGCCACAAATAATCAACCGGACAAAGCAATGAAGGTGCATATTAAGAACTTACAATTATCATGTCTGTATGTGTGCTTGCCACAGACATAAATATACGCTCTGCGCTGGCGACTGCGGCAGGAACGCGGCAATTGTGCATGCAGCAAGGCAGCGAGACAGCTAAATTTCCATCAACGGAAACACAACTCGTCGCGTAATTGTATTAAATGAATTGTGCAACACAAGCGTGGCAAGTGCAACATGAAATCATGAGGAAACGTGGCAGCAAAAAGTCTTCGCCTAACAGAAATGGCAAAAACAAAGCATGCAACCAACAAACAGCAGCCATGCAACATAATAATCTTTGTGCCTCCGACGCGCTTACACACGGGCACATATAAAAGTCTAACAACCACTTTTTGATTATGGCAGTCCATTCCTCGAGACCGCTGCGGCTACTAACGTGCCGATCCAACTGTCCGATATTATAATATCGGGACCGCCCTTGCACTGTACACCAACCGCCATTTAAACGCCACCATTGCGGCTGCCCACTCTCGTCCGTCCGCTGCACGTTGCATTTTGCTCACTGTCTTTTTCTTCCGGTAATTACAGCTGCTACGCCTTGTTGCAGCTTCGGTGTGTGTCTCACCGCAGCGACTGCCACCGTCGCCGTTTTTACCACAAAGGCGCACTTTACACAAACCGAAGAACAGAAAAAAAAGTCGAATTCGGTTGCAGGCAGCCAAAGTGTGGCAGAAAAACTCAAGAACTAACTGACCGTTCCAAAGCAATAACAATTGTATGAGAGCTAAAAGCGCAGCAGCCGCAACATTAAGCGTGCAACATATTTTACATGCCACAAGATGTGCTTGCAACTGCGAAGCTACTTGCATGTGTTCACTCACTACCCTCCCTCCAACGATCCAGCGTCATTATATTTCATTTGCTCTTTAGTATTCAGTGCTACAATTTCTTATTTTATGCATTTTTGGACACATATTACAATTGTCTTTGTTGTTGTTTTTCTTTTTTCATACGCCACTTTTCAGCGGCACAAAAGTCGAGCACCTCTTCCTGCCACAGCGTCAGCACTCGTCGTCGGTGTTTGATTGCTCTTTTGCATCTCTCGCTTTTCCTACTTGTTTGCCGTGGTATCTGCTGTTGTTGTTGTTGTTATATTAGCTTCCTCTCTGCTTTCAGGCGCTACTTTAGACACTCTGCTGCTCCTACGAATCGAATGTTTTTGTGTTCTTGCTTGCTTCGTACATAAATATGTGTGTGTATTGCCATTGATTTCTCATTTGTTTTATTTTACAGTTGTTGTTTTATGCTACATTCCTTTTTATCCCTTTTACTACTTCCTACAACTTGTGATTTTAGCCTTAGCATAAGTGTCTGATGTAATGATTCTAATTGTGTGGCACGAATGGGAAGTTGCTTTGGAACGGGAAGCAGAAAGAAAGCAGGAATTCGTTACATAGTTGATAAATGAAATAAAGCGCATTATTATCAGGTAATGGGAAATTAAAACAGCAGGCATTAGCATGTACGGAGGGTACGAAACACACGTTAGGGATGTGGAATTTCAAATTATTTAGATTTCGGCTTGAAGACTAAAAAAGTTATGATACCCTGCACATTTGCATTTCTTATAGAATAAAATGGTAGAAAAATCCTTATTTTGATTTTGATCAATAATTTTATGTAATTAACAGCCTTTTAAAGATGTATGCAAAATGTCAGAAAATATATAAAAGAGCATTTTAAAGAGAATATTATAAAATAATATTATTAAACATAGTTTTTTTATATTTTTAAGAGCGAAAGTATTCCCAGGATTTATTCAAGTAATTAAATGTACATTTGCTGAAATAAAGGTATGAGTTCACACATGATTACATTTATTGATAACCAAATTAGACAACTGAGTTTTCAAATGAACACATTCTAGGAGAAAACTGCTTTAAGCTCACTATCATAGCCTATAAATAAAGAAACTGGATCTTGAAAAGTCAAGTAGTTTTAAAAAACCTCTTTCTATACATAACACTTCTTTACTTGGCTTAACAGCTACTAGCAACTCACAAACGAGTTAATAAATTGTTTTAGTCTTAAACATCTTAAACACTATTTGTAAGCACACAACTTGTTAACAGTTTCATGCTTAAAGTGCTAAACTGTAATCAAGAAAACTCAACATGAGACAAAAATTTGTGCGGACTTTAATAACTTCCGCATTTATTCACAGCATGGCACACAGCTTGCTAAGCTGGCAAACCACTCGACAGTTCGTGCGCCCGAATTAATTACTCAATGCTCCCGATGCTTTTGCCCATTTCTTTGAACATTAAATATTCGTACGTACATAAAAGCAAGTATGCCGCTTTGAGTGCAACGTGATTACTTTTATTACTGATTAGCAAGTACTAAGTCCGCTCGACCTTCCTAAGCGACATCACTTTGCTCTATGGGCTGTTGATAAGTTCCGAAATGATCTGAGCAAATTTTTGTTCAACATGTAAAAAAGCATAGTTGCTGAACTTTTAAAGAGGAGCAACTTGAAGAGATGTAAGAGCTGTCATTTCATCCAGGAAAAATAACGATTCGGTTGGTGGAAGTATCGGTACATATTTCTTCAAAAATTATTCCAGTGGGAACGTAACCATCAATTCGACTTCATAATCGATTATTTAATACCTGAAGTTGAAGGTCATGACCTCAGTGACATGTGATATCAACAAGACCACTTCTCACACATCGCATCAATCAATGGATTTATTGAGAGAAAGCTTCGGTGAGCAGATAATATCAGGTTTTAGGCCGGCCACCAAGATTGTGTGATATTGCACCGTTAGACTATTTCCTCTGGGAATATGTAAAGTTTAAAGTCTATGCGGATTATCCCGCTTCAATTTAGGCCTTGGAGCGAAACACCACACGTGTCATTCGCCAGTTACCAATCGAAATGCTCAAGCAAGTAATCGAAAATTGTACCCAAGGGATAGACCAACTTAGACGAAGCTATGGCCAGAGAGGTGTATTAATTCTAGAGACTTCAAAAATAATATTAGAATAATTTGAACTTAAATATTCGCACATTGCTAGTAAAGTAGTAACTAAACTTGTTTCAGTAAATATTTTAAATAATAATAAATCTATTTTTATTGTTAGAAAACACACCACGACAAACGTACAATTTAGAGTTATAATTTTTTATAGCATTTTTGTTTTTTGTATTTTTTTCAAAAATATATTTTCTTTACTTTTTTATTTTTTCACAACTTTTTTAGATTTTTTCACCTCAAGTGTTGCCCTTTTAGCTCTACAAGTATATTTCAAATTTTTGATTTTTTATGCCGCATTCTCGATCCTCATTTGTACCAATCAAAAACGTTTGCTCCCGACAAACAACGTTTTGGCACCAAAAATCTGATTCCAAACAGAAAACTTAATGAAGTTTATTTGTCAAATAATCCACTGTATTATATAGCTGTCACACAAACTAAACGATTGAAATCAATTGCCCTTACGGAAGACTTTTTTATTTGAGACGACTTTTTATTAAAACGAAATTTGGCATAGATTAGTGGCCAAGTTTCAACAATCCTGGCACAAATTGTTCAAATAGGTCTACTATAGCATATAGCTGTCTTTAAAACATTCCGATAATAATCAAAATACATACACTAATATATACTTAAACTTCTTATGGATTTAAAAAATTACCCTGTGAAGGGTATTACTTTGTTAGTGCAGCCGAAGTTCACGTTTTCCTTTGTTTTCAATGCCTTTCTGTTTTATATCAGCGCTTGCTGTTCATTCTTTAACCGCTACTGCACCGTTTCTTTATGTATTTACAGTTATTGGGCAACAAACGACGCCGGCGGAGTTGCCAATTTACGGTGATCCCTACACGGAAATTGCACTGGATCTAGTCTTCCCAAAGGGGAATCCGACATTCCTGCTGGACGGCAAAAAATTGCAGCTGTTGCAGCCGCTTGATCGCGATGAGGAGAATCTGAGTCACATTGTCTTTCAGGTGAGTGCGCGAAATCAACCGAAAGCTAGAACACCGGGCTGAAAATACAGTGAAGCAGCGCGTTTTCATCCGAGGTTTTTCAAATGTGTATATATATGTGTGTGTGTGTGTGAATGCATGCAATGCAGGGCGCTGAAGGCGACTGGCTTGCGGTGAAATATATGTGAACAACTAAGTGGGATGTGCAAAACGCTAACAAGAACAACGAACAGAAATACACATGTACAAACGTATGTGTGTGGAGACGAAAACAGCCCGCTTGCCGCTGTGCGCTTTTTTATTTGGTGAAATGCAAATTTTTTATGGCGAAATTTTGCAGTTGCACGCCACAAAATGCGCCGGCCGGCCAAAAACAGCATGTAGAGTGCTTGGCTAATAACCTGAAATGGTTGCTTTACTTGTGCCATTTGGCGTGCAGCGCAACAATTTCTTAAGCAGATCTTCTGCTTATGCAAACCACCAACTGAGTGCTTCGCTGTTTTTGAGTGTGTGTATTATTATTTCTGTCTGTTTGTTTATTTAAAACTATTGAGCGATTTTATTGGCATTTACTTATTTTTGGTATTTTTGGTTTGTTAATTTTATTTTAATTTTTTTTTTTCTCATTTCGCTGCACCACAGGTTTCCTGTTCGATTCGCAACGCAACCAACAAGCGACGCAGCATACCGATTATTGTGCGCGTATCTGATGTCAACGACAATGCGCCGCGCTTCATGAACACACCCTATGAGGTCACCGTGCCGGAGGTAAGCAATGAACAAACTTTATGCAATTACAAAAACAAGCAACACCTAGCTTCCATCAGCATATATCTGAGTATATGCGCAAACTTTCCTAAATCTACAAAAAAAAACATATTTTTTGTTTGTGTTTTACTTTATTTGCAACCTTAAGCAGTCGTTAGCTAGTGTCTTCGCCGCAATCTTGATAAGCTGCTTAGCGGGAAGCGACCTGCGTCGGCGCACCGGCTCAACATATCGCTGCATTATCGCGAAGCGCAATTTCATTTCTTTATTTTTTACTTCACAATATGTAGAAAGATGAAACAGCAACAGCAACAAAAAACGATCTCGCTAGAATTAAACCACAAGCGCCGTGGCAAGAAAAACAATTAAATGCGTTTAATTCTAAAGCACTGTGTCTTTAGCGTGGACGTTTGGTTGCCTGTCGCACCTCCTTCTCTTTTCTAGTCAGTTCGCGCCGCGGACACTAGCCAAGTTCACCAACCTGGTGGGTGGTTTTCATTGATCGCGACTGGTTTTTGGCGCCCACACACACTTTTGTTTCTACTAAACTGCAATGCCAACAAAAATTGCTCACAAATGCTCGCAAACATTTATGTGTGCTGCTACAGTTAGTGCTGTTGTTGTAACTAAAACGATTTCAAACAGCTCTCCGGTTATTTCTACTAATATTGACTTTAACTGTTCGGCATACGTGTTTGTGTGCAATGTTGCTTACTAAAAATTAGTATGAGAAATGGCAATTGCTCAGAAAAATCAAGTTATAATAACATATTACAATGTATTATGGCTTTGGTTTTACATAAAGTAAGTGGTAGTAAAAGTAAAGAAGTAAAAGTTCTATCAAGTATTTTATAATTATTTATTACGATTTATTACAATTTTTGAAATGTTTATTCAAATGCTATTAGACCTGAAATCTTAAATTTCTAACCAAAAAAAAAACCATTACTAGTTTTCTGACATCAACACTGAATAAAGTAAAACAAAATTATTCTGCACTGTTCCTTAGAAATAAGGAAATATGCATAGAATTGATTTAATTATATACCGCGCCCAAAAGTAGGCTACAAGTATTTATTATTCCTCTTTTTTATTTTTTTATTTTATTTTATTTTTTTTTTTTTTTTTTGCTTTTTCACTCGCACTATAAATTTTCTCATAACTCTGCGTAATGTTTTGAGAACTCATCTAATTTTAGACAATTTTTTCCTAGTTTTTATAGAAATAAAAGCGTTAAAGATAATGTTCTTCTATAGACATAACCAATCAGCGACCATCCATATACTTGATTATGTTAACGTCGAAGTGGAGACTTAAGATCGGAAAATCTGCCTGAATAGAAGGTTTTCTAAATTTTTGTACGACCCTAATGGATAAATGCTCTTCAAACAAAGGAAACTGTATTAAAAAATAAACTATAATTTTCATTAGTTCACGTAATATTTATTTATTTCTTTATTTATTTAACAATAAAATTTATGTGCGCGAGATACTATAATATTTACAAACTCTCATATGCATTTAATTAAAAAAAAAAAGTCACTACTTTTACCTGCGGCCACGCGGAACTTATCACTATATTTTCTTAAACTTTTTTTGTGTACACTCTCAGCTACAGCTGCTATATTTCCTTCACCGTACATGGTCAGTTCGGTCAAATATTATCCTATAATGAATACTGGGTCTCAGGATGGGTGATGCTGTTGCGAATAGTACGCTCAGTAAGTCCATTTTGTTGACCATAAGTTGAGCAAAGCGCGCGAAAAACATACTACAGAGAACGTGAATTTTCGTTGAGCGATTTATAAACGTCTTTCAAGTGTAAGTCTCTCCATGATGAAATGACAAACAATACTGAACAAATATAAAATGACAACTTGACACCACTCACGTGTGATCTATCAAAAAAGACTATTAAAAAAAGTACGACAATTTTTTATATCTTATTTCTATTATACGATATCTAATATATTATGCAATATCTAATTTTTGGAAAAACTAATTCTTCTAAAGTTCAATTTTCACATTTTTTACGAGATTTTTAAGTATTCCTTTCAATCATTAATCATATGCGTAAAAATTACAAACTTACAAATATACACCGAAACATAATTAAACTGGTTACTCTAACCCCTAAATTTATAATATAATTCCTCACAGCTATTCAAAGTACTGCACTCATAATGCGTTTGTAACTACAGCTGCTTTGGTGTGTGTCAAAACCCCATAAGGGATTACTGGTTAGAAGCTCGTAAACACCGCGGTATTTTAAGCAACTTTTTAATCTGACCTAGCGGGGTATAGACATGTCTTGTACTTCCTTCGTATCAAGCTAGATGAAAAAGTTAAAATTGTAACTTAAAATCAGAACTTTATTTTTTTACGAAGCTGGCGTCTTTACCCAGATCCTAAACCGTTAAATGAGAGTTATAAGTCAAATGGCTGAGAAAACCTGACGATAATGGTAATGATGATAACAAAAATGACAATGATGACGACGATGACGAATATATTGCTTATAACAATTATCATGAGAATGGTAAAATTGACTTTTTATAAAAATTTGCAACTGAATCAGAATTAAGTATAAAATATTAAGTCTATGTTGAATCTCTCTTTCTCAACTCTTTCGACACTATTAAGGACCATCCCTAGTGTATTTTCTTTCTCAGCACATATTTAAAAATATTCAAAACTAGTCTAAAATAGTATGCAATTATAGAACAATTTATTTTAAAAATAATAATTGCTTAAAATTAAAAAGTGGCATATTAAGAGCTAAACGCTTCCAATTTGCTTTATTTTAAATAACCTAAAGTAATTAACTTAGAACAAATAAATAAAGTTAATTCTAGGCACTATAGAAGTAGACTCGATTTTACTCGTGCAATCACCCAGCCAAATGTCCATGAAGCTGCGATAGCACTACAAATAACGGGTGTCATCATCAAAGGCAATATTCAATACATACATACATACACATATATACATAAAGGCATATATTTAATACACACCTACTGACATTAGACATTACCTTATCTAAACGCAAATATATACTTATTTTGCTCTCTCTTGTTGGGCGGCATTTGCAACTTTAATGTTGCCAACTACTTTTCAACAACTCGCTAGTTGCTTGCCTTATTTTAGCATAGTCCTCAGCAACTGTCAATTGCCACCAAAAGCAACAAGTAAATCACTTTAAAAACAAGCAATTGCTGAAACCCGGCAACGCAGCTAGAGCAATCAATTATATAAACAAGTTGTTCGCTCGACGGACAGCAATCAGAAAACCAAAACAAATCACGCTGCGGCACAAACGAAGTTCATACGCAAAAATGAATAAAAAAAAATCTCCTCAATTTTGTGCGTATTTTTGTTAATTAAAAACCGCCGGTCGAATGTTTCTCCGTTTGGTCGCTCAATCGCTTGGACAGTTGTCAATTTGGCGCACTTTAAAATTAATTTGAGTAGTTGCTACGGCGGTTAGTCGGCGCAAGTACTAAGTAACATGTTGCTTTTAATGAAACCAATGCGCAACATGTTGCTAGCGAAGCATGTCCCACAACATGCAAGTATACACGCACTATCGCTAATGGTGATTGAGTTTAATTTATTATTTAGAGATTTTTTTTTCAATAATTTTTGTTTTTCATTTTTATTTAATTTTTTGTCATATTCCTTTTCTTTTGTTGGCAGCCAATTTTCGATACTTAGAAATCGTAAACGTCTATACAAATGCATTCTTTGGTCGCGTGTTGCAAACTGATTTTCCACAAGTGCAAAAATACACATTCCATTCCTGTACAAATATTTGGCCTACACAAACATATAAGTATACTCACTCGCAGCGCGTATGTGTATTTGCTGCATAAAATTTGCAACACGCTGCACTGCTGTACATCAATTCGCAGCAGCACCTGTTGGCACCGTTTAAAAGAGCTGTACATCAAATGCGCTTACACCACTTTCCTTCTTCCTTACCGCTCTCCGCCTCTCCCCAGCCACTTTATGTTCTTAAGTTGCTCGTATGCTGTCAACACAAAGCCAGTTCAACGGGAATGACTTGACCGCAAATATATCATTCAGTGAGCGCATTTGACTTGCGCATGTTCGCCGCTTAGCAACCCCCGCGCTACATCCCCGTGTATACAACACTTTGAAGCATGCGGAAATTGATTATTACAAGTTGGGTGCCGCTTTAAAGATCTCTGCCGCTCTTCTTGCTTCCACTATGTTTTTCTCCTTTTCGTTCGATTTTGTTATTCTGTCTTGATATTGCCATCTTAATTGCGCCATTTGTACGGAATTGCCTTTCATAATCATATTAGAAAAATCAAATTAAGTTATTAGATGAGTAATGTCATGTACCGCTACTCGCCACGAATACACACGACAATCCAAGCAACACAGAACATACGTGTGGTGCTGCTTCCACAGACACCAAGTGTCAGTGTGAGTTATTTACTGAGTGCAGGCGCTTTAATTCCTAAATTGCGCGGCTGGTGTTTGAAGATTAAATATTTGCATAATAACGGTAGTCGTCAAATTCCTGTTCATGCTCTTGATGTCTACAGCGTTACGTGTCTTACAAAAAAGAAGCTTACCTAAGTGGCTGAGATTAATTTTTATGTTGCCACTAGATTTTCATGAGATAATTTTCGAAGCATCTCTTTAAATATGCATACATATATACATCACTTATGTTTTATCATGTAATTATTCAATACTAAGCAAAGAACAGTTATAAGTACTGTGTTACAATATTTTATGCTCAGTTTTAAAAAAAAATGAAGCACTTTAGATCTAGCGTATTAGTTACATTTAATATTGTGCGGGCTCAAAACGAACTGCCATGCAGCTTTCGATAAGCAGAAAGCTTGCCAAGATTTCATGATCCACACAGAAACAGAAAATAAGCATTAAATAGTATTTGCATTTAATCTTCGATTTACCAAAGCAACATTGAAAACAGTATCGAAAGTTTAGTCTCAAAAAAACCT